AAAATCAACATATAATAATCAGTAACATTACTACATGTCGACAGCAAACAATCTGAAAAAGAATCCAAGAAACTAATACTATTTATAAAAGCTGAAATCAAAATGAATTAAATACTTAAATGTAAGACCTAAAACCATAAAAGCCCTAGAAGAAAATGTAGTCAATACCATTCAGGACATAGGCCTCTGCAAAGTCTTCATGTCTAAAGCACCAAAAGCAATGACAACAAAAGCCAAAATTGACAAATGGGATCTAATTAAACTAAAGCTCTTCTGCACAGCAAGAGAAACTATCATCAGAGAGAACAGGGAGAAAATTTTTGTAATATCTCCATCTGGCAAAGGGCTAATATCCAGAATCTACAAAGAACTTAAACACATTTATGAGGAAAAAAAATCAAAAACTGGATGAAGGATATTAACAGACACTTCTCAAAATGAGACATTTGTGCAGCCAAAAACATATGAAAAAAAGCTCATCATCACTGGTCATTAGAGAAATGCAAATCAAAACCACAATGAGACACCAGTTAGAATGACAATTATTAAAAAGAAGAGGATGTGGGGAAACAGGAACACTTTTACACTGTTGGTGGGAGTGTAACTTAGTTCAACCATTATGGAAGACAGTGTGGTGATTCCTCAAGGATCTAGAAATAGAAATATCATTTGACCCAGCAATTCCATTACTGGGTATATACCCAAAGGATTACAAAACATTCCATTATAAAGACACATGCACGTGTAGGTTTACTGCAGCATTGTTCACAATAGCAAAGACTTGGAACCAACCCAAATGCCCATCAATGATAGAATGGATAAAGAAAATGTGGTACCTATATACCATGGAATACTAAGCAGCCATAAAAAAGGATGAGTTGATGTCCTTTGCAGGGACATAGATGAAGCTGGAAACCGTAATTCTCAGCAAACTAATACAAGAACAGAAAACTAAACACCACATATTCTCTCTCATAAGTGGAAGTTGAAGAATGAGAACACATGGACACAGGCAGGGGAATATCACACATTGGGGACTGTCAGGGGGTCGAGGCTTAGTGGAGGGATAGCATTAGGAGAAGTACCTAATGTAGATGATGGGGTGATGGATGGAGCAAATGACTATTGCACACGTATAACTATATAACAAATCTGCACATTCTTCACATATACCCCAGAACTTAAAGTATAATATAAAGTAAGAATACTACAATAAAATGATACAAATATAAAACAAAGAAACAAAAAAGAAATACCTAGGAATGAACTTAAGCAAAGAAGTAAAAGATCTCTAGAATGAAAATAATAAAACATTGATGAAAAACTTGAAATGATACAAAAATGAAAAGCTATTTTATATTTGTGGATTCGAAGAATAAGTATTGTTCACATGTCCATACTACTCAAAGCAATCTACAGATTCAATGCAATTCTTATTAAAATACCATGATATTCTTCACAGAAATAGAAAAAAAATTGTAAAATGTATATGGAAAACACAAAAGACCCAGAAGAGCCAAAGCCATCCTGACTCAACAGAACAAAAGTGGAGAAATCATATTACCTAACTTCAAATTATACTACAGAGTTATAATAAACAAAAACACCATGATGCTGGCACTAAAACAGACACACAGACCAAGTAAAACAGAGTAGAGAACACAGACATAAACCCATGCATTTACAGCAGACTTATTTTTAACACAACTGCCAAGAACATACATTGGTGAGAGGGCAGTCTTGTCATTACATGGTACTGAGAAAACTGGACATCCACATGTAGAAGAATGAAAGTAGACCCCCATCTCTTGCCATATACAAAAATAAAATCAAAACAGAATGTTGACTTAAATTAAAGACCAAATCCATGAAAGCACCATAAGAAAAGATGAGGGAGACACCTCAGATCATTGATGTGGGCACAAATTTCTTAAGTAATACCCCATAAGCACTATCAAGCAAAGCAAACACAGACAAATGGGATCACATCAAGCTAAAAAACTTCTGAACACTAATCGAAACAACAAAGACACAACACACAGAATAGGAGGACATGTTTATGAACTACCCATCTGACAAGTAATTTATAACCAGGATTTATGAGCAATTCAAACAGGAAACAAATCAAAACAAATAATCCAATTAAAAATGAGCAAGAGATCTGAATAGACATGTCTCTCAAAGGACAACATACAAATAGACAACAGGTATACAAAAAATGCTCAACATCATCAAAGAAATGCAGATCAAAACTATAATGAGATATCATCTCATCCCAGTTAAAATGGCTTTTAGCCAAAAGACAGGCAATAAGGAATACAGATGAAGATGTGAAGAAATGAAAATGATTATACACTTGTGGATTAGTGGGAAAGCAAATTAATACAGCCACTATGGAGGACAGCATGAAGATTCCTCAAAAAACAAAAAATAGAAACTACCATATGATTCAGTGATTCCTCTGCTTGGTATATATCCAAAATAATTTTAAAAGTCAATATATTTAAGAGTTAAATATCTCTTATGTTTACTCCCATGTTTATTGCAGCACTATTCAAAATAGCTATGATATGGATCTAAGTGTCCATCAGTGGATGAATGGGTGAAAATGTGGTATATACACAATGAAAAACCATTTGGTTACAAAGATAAATAAAATCTTGTCATTCGTTGAAATATTGATGGAACTGGAGAAAATTATGTTAAATGAAGTAAGTCAGTTGCAGAAAAAATAGTTGTTTCTTTTCATTCATATGTGGGAGCTATGACAACAACTGAAACTGATGGAGAAAGAGAAAAGAATAATTGTTACCAGAGGCCAGTAAAGATAACAGGGAAGTGGGAATGGGGGTTAAGTAGGAACACTTAATGGGTATAAAAATACAGTTAGATAGAATGAATAGGATTCAGTGTTCCATGTCATAATAGATTGAAAATAACCAAAATAATTTATTTATATTTAAAAATAAGTAAAAGAGTAGAATTGGAATGTGTTCCTAGCTTTAAGAATTGATAAAGGTTTAAACTGATACATATCACAATTACCCTGATTTGATCATTACATATTGTATGCCTGTATCAAAATATCCCATGTGCAACAAGTAGAAACTCATTTACATAAAGCACAAAACAGGAAAAACTAATCTATAGTGCTATGAAGTTAGAATATTGCTTAGCATGAGATTGAGTAGGGACAGGAAAGGAGATCTAAATAATAGAGTTATTTTCCTTGATTTAAGCATTGAACATGGGCATACTCAGCTTGTCAATATTTATTAAACTGTACACTGATAATATCTAAGCCTTTTTGAATATTATACTTTCATGTGAGTAAAACTTAACAATTAGCAAAAATATAGAAATATATAAAAACTGATATCTATTTTGGCACATATTTTAAAAGTAAAATCTTTTCAAATGAAAGTATTATATTTAACATTTAAGGTGTAAATGACACAACAGAACAGAACTATATAACAAAGCAAAGACAAATTAGTCTATAAAACAGTATGAGACCTTCCACACTTCAATATATGCATAGAAAAAGAATAAAAAATATTCAACAATAAAAAACAATCAGTCCTTGAAATACAAAACATAAATGGTCCTAATAAAACATTTTTGAAGATGTCAGAAACAGAAGGGTAGACATGGTATAGGAATCCATTTATATGAGTTTCCAAAATAAGCCAAAACTATCTGTGCTGAAAAATCAGGAATAGCAGTAACCTGGGTGGGGGAGGTTAATGTGGGCTGACTGGATAAGGAAATGAGAGGACTTTCAGAGTGTGATACGGTTTCCTGTTACACATTTAAAAACATTTGTCAAAACTCTTCAACTGAAACATTTTGCGCATTTTATTCTGTGGCTTCACTTAAATAAAGGTAAACACAATTTAGACTCTATGTAATGATATGCAAGTTGAATTTTGTGGGGGTTATGTTCTAATTTTTTGAAATTCAAGAAAATATAATGATTAAAATATGGATAAACATATTACAAAGAAAATATCACAAAATGTTAATCGTAGAACCCAACTGCTGGTATATGATTGTTTGTTGTAAAAAGTCTTTCAATTCTTCTATATGTTAGAAAAGATATGCAGTAGAAAGTCTTTAAATTAAAAAAAAATAATAAAGGATATGTCCTGAACTCTTAAGACTTATTTTTATTGCTGTGTTTAATGCGACACAAGTGTATGTATAAAAAAACATACATAACACATAAACACGTATGCATATGTTTGCACATGATTTCTTGTGCTTGCTGAATTTTTTGTATGGATCACATTCTACTTTTGAGATTAGATCCATATCTATCTAAAGACAAACAAAATAAAATGGAAATGTTAAAACCTCTTAATTTCCCTTTTACGGGACAAAATAATTTTCTAAAAAAGTCGATCTACATATTTTCTTGAAAATTATATTCTGCTCTACTAAATGGAACTACACAAGAGTTCCAGATTCTAAAATGTAATCAACTTTTGATCAAATTTTAGAATAGTAAATTCAGAATCAGTGATAATGTATTTTATAGCACATATAATATTTTCTATACCAAAACTAATGAAGCCTTACATTTGTAGAAGTTGCCATGATTTTGTTGTTTTAAACTCAGTTCAACTGAGTTTTAGCTCTGATTATTTTTGAAGGCTTTCTTTTTTTAATATAAATAAAACCAGTGGAATAAATCAAAATGGAATACATTTGTACAAATATCCATCCATCTATAAGTTTATCATCTGTAAATCATGCCAGTAATTCTTTTCAGTGAAGCTCCCATTTTGAGGTTTAATTTTGAATAAGCTGTTGTCAAAGTCACTTTGTTCTATGTTATATTTAAGGATACATAGTTTTAAAGTCAGAGAGCAGGCAGTGTAGTGTCGAATAATCAAACTCTGTACCCTACTTCGAGAAAACAAAGCTCTCAGATAAAGCACTCAAGCTTGTCTGTGGCTCTTGTTTAAAATGACATGATGTCGATGCCTGATACTCACAGGTATGCAGCTTTTCCTTCTTCGAGTTCTTTACTTTTGCCACTGGAGCCACTTTTCTTTCCGCACATTCTCCTAGTGATGCACATCAGCAACCCACATTGCCGAATAAAGAAGCAGCTGACGTCTGTTACCACAAGAACTAGCAGAAGCGCAGCAACTCCCAGGCCAATGACTGCTCCAAGCCCAAGACCATTAAAAAGCGTATCTTAAAAAAATTAGAAAATATTAGATGATTATTTTCAATATAATTCTTATCAAAAAATTCAATTTAAGAGAGAATAATGTGCTGTTAACTGGCGGAATTCAATTTCATGATTATTGACACCTATTTCCTGGCTTTCAAACAATACTTTAAGCAATTGATATGTTAATTATGTGACTATTTTTTTCAAACTCATTCTTTTTATTAAAAAATAAGTTTAAGTATCTTAAAAAAAATACTTCTTGATTCCCATTGGAGACGATAATGAATATTACAATATCCCTAAACATGCTTTATCAGAAAATGACACCCTTTAATAGATCATCACAATGTTAAAAGAATAGTCAAATCTCTGTAAGAAGTGTTAAATAGATCTTCTATACGAGATTATGTAAATTTTAAAACTTGATCTTACAAATGGACAGTTCTGAGCACTTTGTTTTATCAGAGAATGTATTTAAGTATAACTTTCTATGAATGTTTTAGAAATCATCATTTGGAAGAAATGGAGCACCTGTAGTTCTCCAGTTAATATTTTAACCAATGCGTGAGATTAGAGGCAACATTTTATAGCTATGGTATTTATGACTCTTTGTTAGGTCCTATCATGAGAAGGTAGGAGAAGATGGAAACCACTTTTCTTTGGCATGTGGTTGTAGTAAATCCGAAAGGACATACAGAAAGTAACCATGAAAGGTTGGCTGGACTCAGTGGCTCACACCTGTAATCCCAGCACTCTGGGAGGCTGAGTCAGGTGGATCACGTGAGATCAGGAGTTCGAGACCAGCCTGACTAACATGGGGAAAACCTGTCTCTACTAAAAATACAAAAAATTAGCCGGACATAGTGCAGACACCTGTAATCCCAGCTACTCAGGAGGCTGAAGCAAGAGAATTGTTTGAAAAGGGCAGGAAAAGTTTGCAGTAAGCTGAAATCTCGCCATTGCACTCCAGCCTGGGTGACAAAGCGAGACTCTGTCTCAAAAAAAAAAAAAAAGAGAGAGAGAAAGAGGGGAATGGTAAGATGATGAAGTATCCCGACTGATAAAATTGAAATGGCAAGTGGAGCAAGTAGTCATGAAGATGAATCGAGTGTTACATGTTTGTAGTAGAATCTGAGGACAGACTCCACAGCTGTAACAATATGGATAAGAAAATAACGACAATGAAAAGGAATAAATTAAACTGGTAATAATGCATTATCTAGAAGAAAAGGAAGAAACGTAACTTCATAGGTATTCAAATGATTCTTAACACGTGTGTTAAGAATTAGCTTGCAAAACATTTTAGTCTCTTTAATGATAAAATGCATTTACTACTCAGCATAATAACAGCATGCTTAATACGTAACTGATATGAAACTCAATTGACAGATATAGGTATAGATGTAAATTTGAATTGTGAGAAAACCACTCCTGAAAAAAATATATATAACAAATTTTCTTGTCATATTTTTATTTTTTATTTTTTGAGTTGGAGTTTTGCTCTTGTTACCCAGGCTGGAGTGCAATGGCGTGATCTCAGCTCACTGCAACCTCTGCCTCCTGGGTTCAGGCAATTCTCCTGCCTCAGCCTCCTGAGTAGCTGGGATTACAGGCACTCGTCACCGTGCCCAGCTAATTTTTTGTATTTTTAGTAGAGACGGGGTTTCATCATGTTGACCAGGATGGTCTCGATCTCTTGACCTCGTAATCCACCCTCCTGGGCCTCCCAAAGTGCTGGGATTACAGGCTTGAGCCACCTTGCCCGGCCTCTTGTCATATTTTTAAACGTTGGTTTAATATTTTAATATTGACTAGAAAAACAGTGATCCAAGGAAATCAGTACAACTGCTAACATACAAAATCATCCACTAGTGGCTCTACTTCGGATATGTCAGACTTGACTGAATACTAGTTCTGTAGGACGAGTGTCATGTCATTTTTTTTTTCTTCAAAAAATAGGTTTATTTTTATCTCTTAACATTTCAAAAGCAAGCAGGTCAGTTTTGAAAAAAATCATCCAGTTTGTGATACAGTGGCCTGGTACTTGACCCTGGCAACTCTGTGGTTCACATTTGCAAATGTACTTCTACAATGTCACCATGATATGGCAAATGAGAATTACTTAAGCACTGAAATAACAAATTTAGAATGCTCATGTCCAAGACAGTGTAATTTTTATTGAAATTATTTTGTTACTCATGAAGTTAAAATATTAATAAACACATAGCAGTGTGGAAGAAAAATAATGTATTCATGTCAATTTCAATATCTCGTTCCTATACCAAAGTTTAACATGCTACTTAGATAGCGATAGTTTAGGAAAATTACTTAGGTAATATCCGGGGAAAATTTTGGTTTTGACAGAATTTTTATCTTAGCACATGAACCCACTTGAGGAAAGAATTACTAGAGAAAGAATAATATTTTTCAGCCATGGGTATTTAATATATATATTTTTTTATTTTGCAAAATCTCAATAAACAAATATAGAATAAGATTCCAGGGATTAGTTCTCAATTTTTCAAAGGTATATCTCTACGCATGATTTAAAAAAGAACTAGTGCCTCCTGCTACAAAAAATGACATTATCAAGCAAACTCGGATTTTTGTTTGCAGTTAAAAAATGGTACACCTTTTCTTACATTATCCATTTTCAAATATAAATGACTCACTTCCACGTCTATTATTACAATACAGTGAAGTCAACTTACCTATTAAACATATGTAATTGTATAAAAAATCCAACATTTTTCAATATTCATATGTATTCATTTTAGATATGCTGCACATTATTCAACAACTAAAGCTCAGAAAACAATTAGAAAAAAATATGAATATAATTATGGTATAGCCCCAGTGTATACAATCACTCGATGATCCTATTAGTTTGATCACTCTTCTGCTACCTCATTTAGGTTCTTGTCATATGCAGACATAGTTGTGGGAAGTAAATCCTATAGCTCAATGACAATATATCTGTTTTATTATACAAATTCCCATTTACCTTTCCCAAGTTTGAAGAGTCTTGCTTTGTTCTTAAAAACACTGCATCAGGAGTAAGAGCCTGCTTTCACCGCTTACCATCATTAGTTGTGGGGGGTAAGCCATCTAATATCTCTAAGACTGAAGTGCCTCTTTATTAAAATGGTGACAGTTATTAACAAAACATAACAACCACAAAAGGTCACAGGTTTGTTGAGAAGATTGTTGTGAATGTGGTAATGTACTTAACCTCTGGCACTTATTGACCAGTACAAAGTAAACATTTAACAAGTATTGCTTATAATTATTATTTTAGTATTATAAAATTCCAGAGAAATGATATTTTGATTAAAAATTAATGTTAAACGTTAAAACTATTCCATAAACACGTTTTCAGCAGTGATCTAAGGTGGAAAAGTATCTTTTATTAAGTAAAAATTATTCTCTTGAGGGTACAGTAACTTTAAAAAAAATAATTCAGGTTTGGCTAGTTAGCTTTTAAATGACAAATATTTAATTCTGTGATCTTTTTAGCATAAAACGAGTGTAGTGATTTGCTTCATTTTTATCTTTAGAAAAAGCTCTCAGAAAAATTATATATGTAAAACATCTTCATTTTGTTGGCTTAAATGACAGATTTATTTCCTATCAGTCATGATGGTTTAGAGTTTGAGGTCAGGGTACCAGCATGATTGGATTCTGGTAGTGGCCCTTACATACAAGATTAGCAATGCTGCCAATTGTTTAATTGTTCTATTTTAATAAAAGATATTATTTTTAACTTACGGTGCCTCATTTATAAGCGAAAGTTTATCATAGGTATGTATGTAAAGGAAAAACCTGTGTGTGGAGGGTTAAGTGCTATTAGAGGTTTCAGGCATGCACTGAGAGCTCTGGATGCATCTCCAGCTGAAGCAGGGACTACTGTATGTGTCTTTTCATGTTTCTGTTGCACACATCAAATCCAAACTCATATATTACATAATTTTTCCATGAAATGTATTATATTTGATAATACCAGCTTTTCAAAAACCAATGAACTATTAGATTCATAAAACTAGCCATGGTTTTTGACTCCTCAATACTTCAGTGTTTTAATTAACCATTTTATATGCTATGTATAATCTCCAGGTAGATTGAAAATTAATTTCAGAATGTGGAACACATCAATAAAGACATGGAGAAAAAATTCAAAGGGTCCTAAAATGGTGACTGGTTGCTGTTTCTAGAATACTGGTAGCTATTTTCATAAGAGATATTGTTGGATGTAGTAGGCAAGTAGGTTAAGCATATAAAAGGCAAAGAGAAGACATTAAAAACCTGATTGGTGCTGATCATATCTTCCCACATTGGAGATAAGTCTACATTGACTCTTAATTGTATGTTCTTATTTCATCATTCCTAGCACAACACACTCCCTAACATCAAGTGATATACAAAAGGTTTTGGTATAAGTTTTCCGAAGATAACACACTCTTGAACATCAAATGATATATGGAAAATTTTGGCATAAGTCTGTAGCAAATACATACATAGATGTGAGGAGAAAATACAGAGACTTAAAAATCAGCAGCAACTTACTGAAATTCTACCTGGTGATATATAATCATGGGGGATGTTTTAGTTTGCTTTGTAGATAAAGGTGAATAGAAATGAATTCAACAATACATTTGTGGAATCGTATAAAGTTAAATTAAGTTCAGAATATTTTAAAACATACTCTTCAAAATTTCCTTGGAGTTTGAATCCTTTAAAGAGTGCAGAGTTAATCCTACAATTAAATAAATTTGATACATTGATGGAACATTAAGAGAATAAATAACTGTTCTATAGAGTTTTAAAAATATTTTCAGAAATTAACTGTTGTAAAACATACCCCATAAGTATCTTCTCTGAGAGGCACAGGTAGAATCAAAAGTTTCACTAGATTCAATTCAAAATTGCTATGCAGATAATTAGAAATACACGTGTAAATGTTATCTTTATATATTTGTGTGTGTTAAGAAAAAAATATTCAAAAATATTTATTTATTTATTT